CCTATGATATATTTTGTTATGATGATTCTCAATGCTAACATAATTTTGGTAACTTTAAGGCAATTGCCTATGGAATAACTATTTCTGGTACCTTATTGCACTATAATTATCCAAGCCCATTATTTAAATCATATTTCAAATCTCTCATCTATATTCATCAAAACCACAAGTCTTACTTTTTCACAAATGGTTATTAAAACAATAAAACCAAACATAGAGTGGATCTCAGACTCATGGTATTTGCATGAATTCATATAGAGTGTGACATGGCAATCGTGACATCACCTGAAGTGCAGAACACAGTGTAGAACTGAATCATCCTGGCCTGGCCCCTATTACCTCTCTAATACTGCATTCTTGTCCACATGTAAGCACAACAGGACTTCATCAAGCAGCAAATCACGCTTGAAGTGGATGGAGACCAGTTTATTGATGTCTGAACAGGTGAGAATGCAGCTCATCAAGAACAGAGGGGATAGCAGTCTGCTTCCTTTGTGCTATTATGGAAGTAGTACGTCACCTTTAATATCTAGCCATGCCTTTACAAGTGCCTTAAAACCAGGCTGGGATAACTATAGCCAGCTGCTGATACTGATACCTACACCAAACGCTGCTATCCCACAAGCCTCATTATGCACAGGACTGAATTCTATTGAATGTTTCTTTAGTGAAGAAAAGAAAAAACATAATCAGTAAATGGTAGGCAACACTGTGTACTCTTAAGTAGATACCTTTCCACTGGCACAGATCAAATATGTGGGTTTTTTGCTACATGTGTGGGAACAAGAAGCATTATTTTAAAATATGAATTGCATCGTATGCATAGAGACATCTACAGAACAAAAAACATTAAATAAAACAAAGGGAACCAGTAGGCAACCAAAACTCTGAGTGGCAAAGGGTATAAGGTTAATAGAAAATGATCATAGCAGAATTTGGTTTTCCCCATTCACTTAACTAGGATCAGCTGTTTGACAGCAGAATTTTATTTACCAGTTGATAAAGCTGCATATACATTCTCTCAGACAGTCTAAAAATCATTCCTCTTTCCTTAGCCAAGGAAGCTTTTTCTCTGTCAAATAGCAATCACTCATAGTGAGAGAAAGTTGACAACAACCTATAAATATTAAATGTGGCTATTAGCAAGTAAGTATTTTTTCAGAAATTTGCAAAACTACTGGTGAATAGTTTCCTTTATGTAAGTGAAGGTTCCAGCTATGGTATGCTTTCATACACTTCACTGAAATGTGCAACAATTGCCCTTCAGTTCACTAGGGAGCAAAGCTTCAGTAAAGCTTTGGTACCAGACAGGTTCTAGAATACCAAGAAAGAGTCATTCTGTACGTGAAATCCTAGGACTAAAACTAAGTACCTTTAAAAGGAACAAGCAGAGGAAGAGACGTTTTATACAGTATGGTTTTTGGTAAGACACAATGATTTAGCTTTGAATTCAGATTCAGGCAAAGATCCAATGGAAGCCTGCTTACTACTTTAATTGTACTTCAAAGAAAGTGTTAGCTGAGAAGGTCTTCTGCATCTTCTGAACCAATAGGCTACACAACCAGCTGGAGTCTACCCCCTCTCCATGTGATTGTCCGAGTCTATCTGGAAGCTGAATTTGGCCTGTTCTGGGAAAGGTGTCAGCTGTCTGTGGTATGGGAAAAAACATTCCGATTTTCTGTCATTTCTGTAGATACACTCACCCACATATGCTAGAGTCATGGGAAACGACATGAATCAGACAGCTCTCTCTTTCAAAAATCACCAAACAAAGTCTTATGGAAATGAAAACAATTATCACTAAAGAAATCACAGGAAAAGAAAATTAAAATTTCAGAACACATCAGTATTGATATGCCTTAGAAAACACTGCATTTCTCACTATTTTCTTGGGCTATGGTCATTCCTCTTTACCAATTCTAATCAATTATGTCTCTTGCTCCAAGGATTAGATAAAGATCAGGAAAAAAATATGTTCTCAGAAGTCTGCATTTCAATCTTACACAAAGATATTTTATAATCTACTTTTACTTCACCCTGCCAGGATCCATTAATCAGAGTGTTCTCCCTCCAGGACAGACTGCTTGGACAATAGAGCTGATGAGGTATAGCTCTCTTCTCTTTCCCGTGCTCGTTTCAAGACTTTTTTTCTCAGTGTGTGCACAGATCTACACCAGCATAACATATATTTTGAAGTAAAGTGAAGCTCTTCTCCACAGAATTAATGTTCTTAATTCAACATAGCTCAGTAAAACAGACAGTAAATCACAGGACATTAAAAAATCAGGGAAAAGAAAAATGCTTCAAGTCTGGCTTTGTAAAACCTTCTGTTCTGAGAACACTGGCCACCTGGTGCACACTTGGATTTGCTGTCTGCAAGGGTCTCCAGACAGCACTAGTACAGTCTTCAACAATAAATCCCCAGTTATGGACTGATGGTTCATGCTTTTAGGAACAGAATTTTGTTAAGAGCTGCAGTCATTGTGCCTCGCCAAAGCAGCAGTAATAAAGGAGTATCAGAACACAATAAAGGTGCTTGTTATGGGACTTACTGAGAATCTCAAAAGCTGCCAGGGGGTAATACACTACAAAAGCTACTTCAAATACACTACACAAGCATACATGCTGCAAACTCACAGAGCTGCTGTAAAATTACCTTACATTAGAGGAGTTAAAGCATATAGTAATTATTCCTGAAAGAATAAATTAATTCTCCCATGTTTTTTCTGGTGATTGAGATATTTTTTTTTTCTCCTTTGTGATTCTTAGCTGCCTCTTTCATCTTTCATATTCCACAGAACAATGAGATAGCAGTAATTATCAACAAGCTCGATCCTGCCCAAACTGAAGTGAATGGAAAACTGCCAATTGGACTCAAAGGGAAGTGAAAATGAGTCCCCAAATTAGGGGATAATAATAATCACTGTGGTAATAAGCTATGTAAGTCAGCTATGTGGTAATAAGGCTTCAGTGTTCCTGTCACTTTTGCTTTGTGCGGCTTTATTTGCTTTAGGGAGATAATGATATGGCGGCATGTAAAAAGAGTATTCTGCTCATGCACATTAGACATGCAGCTGCCATTTCCTTCTCAGGACTGACATAAATAGACACGTCATATCATTAACAGCATAAATTGCAAAATCTCCTCCGTGGAGCTACTGACTTATAGGGATTACCTGGCCTGGAATTGAGACTTCCAACACTGACAAAGGCTTGATGTGTCTGTCTGGGGAAAAGGCCAGCCCACCGTTACCCTGAGAGTACATGCTCAACCTCAGACAAATAATAGACCAGTCAGTAAGATGTTCTTGCTCGTCTTACCTGATGTCCATCTGAATAGCTCTCTTTAGAGAGCTGCTGTAACTGCTTCTGAATTTGTTATTTCAAACTGCAGATTTATGCAAGTAGTTTACCACACGTGAAACATTGGCTGAATTAAGTGAAGATTATGCACATCCAATGAGTGTTTTTGAGCAAGTTCTGATTTCTTTTAATGGCAAAGGGGCCATACTGAAGGCAGCAAGTCCCAAACTGTTGTTGCAGTCTCTAGGACGCTCTTTATGGAGACAAAAGCAAAGCCCACCAGCGGCCACGTATTTTTAAGGCAGATGATGACCCAGTGGGCCAAATCATGAGAGCAGAGGTAGGCTGCATTTCCTCTTCAGCAGCTTCTGCAGCTCCTTCACAGGTCACTGCGCCTCAGTCCTCCTCCCCGGCACCGTGTCAGCCATCTCACCGGGAGCTGAAAGAAGCCCTAGCCCTTTCCTGGCTGCTCACGCATTTCGTTTCTGGAAGAGATCTGCCTTCAGTTATCAAAGTGGCTCTCCAACATCATTGTCACAGTGCGCTTTAAGATCCTGTCTACATCCACTGCCAGTTTTGGAAAGAGAGGTCTCAGAAATACTGCGTTCCTGCCAGTTCTGTGAAAACGAGTAGCCAGGCACAGCAGTGAGCGCTTCTCTGCGCTCCCACAGACCGAACGGCG